AAATTACACAGTGACCAGCTCATCACTGAAAAAAAAATTTTTTTTGACTTACTTTAGTTACTAGTTAGACTTGGATCTGCCTTTTTGAACAGCTCCCTCTCATTACTGTGTTTGCGCAGCTAAGATTAAGAAATCAGCTAGTATTTCTTTGAGTTTATACGCTTGTATGAGTAGGAGGTGTAGGCCAGATAGAACTTACTTACCTCTTAACTTATAATGTGGGAAGTGAAAAGTACTAGAATGGAAACAATATTCCTGACGGTGTTGTCATTGCTGATTATAATTTAGTGTTGCATTATTGTATCACTGCATAATCTCACAAGTATATGTCATGGTTCATTTGTTCAGCAGCAGGAAAGAGGATAATCACATTGTAAATAGGCCTTTAAACAGGCACTATGCCTGAACATTAGGAGGATATTACTGTCATTTGTGTATTCTGCAGCAGGAAAGAATAGCTTTTATATGCAAATTAAGAGTACTGAAGGAGAACTGTTCTGCAGTCTTATGAGAAATACCTGCTAATTAACTCAAAATATTGTACACTGAGAGATGGTTTTATGATGTCTCTGCGTTGCCCAGTTTTAAAAATGTATACAGATGACTCGTGAAAGGCAAGATAACCTAGGTAAAGCAAAACAGAGGTTGTACAAAACAAGAGTAAGAGTAGCAAGTATCGAAGAACTTAAACTCACCTTTGGAAAAATAATAGGTAAAACAAATTTCCTTAGAGAGCAGTACTATTTTACATCAGCAGCTGGCAGGGTGAGAGCTAGCATGAATAACATGCTCCCCCATATGATGGATAGGAAAGAAAGGAGGGAAAGAAAGCAGACTACAATGTTCCGATGCAGCCAGGAGCTGTCAGAGGAGAGATCAAGCCTGGTTAATCCACAATCCACATAAGTGATAACTGATTATATTTTATTTTGGTGATATACTCTTCATCTTTACAAAAGATCTCCAGGTATATAAATTTGGATTAAAAGGAGAGATATTGAAACATCTCTAAAAAGACTGTTTTATTGATAAAATTATATTTCTCTTAATAACAACGTCTGTTCTTAGAAGATTAGAGACAAGTAGTTTAATAGTTGTCAGTTTGCTTTTCATCTACAGGAAAGACTGATTGTAACGGGAAAAAACAGCATTCTGTTGCAATGAATAGATAGCTGTGTTAGGCAAGTCTGGGATCAATGTGGTTTCAGCTGTACTTGTGGGGTCCCTGAAGATTATTTCTAATTCTTAGTTTTTATTTTACTCCCTTTCAATTTATCTTTTGGTGGCAGAATATCTTTGCTGCTCCTTTTCATCTTTTAGGCAATCAAATAGGAGTTTCTTTTACGAATACATACATACATAGCAAAATGTGTGCGTGCTTGTGTGTGTGTGTGTGTGTGTGTGTTTGGTATACAATGCCATATATATATGGTATATATAGAGAGACATATGTTGTGTGTGTGTGTGTGTATATATATATATATACAGTATATAATTTGGGGTATACATACACACACGCACATACCCTCTAGAGGATTAGAGATCACCGTGATGGTAGTGCTTAGAAGACCAACAAATCAGGCCAGGTTTAAACCTTAAAATCAAACTTTACTAAGTTCATTTATTAACAGCATACTTCTAGTAGTTAATTCTTACATGTTTCATCATCCGTACTGTGTATCCAAAACTGTTAACGGAGCTGATGCTGTGTAGTTATAGCACTGATGGCTGTGGGTCCTTGCTTCTTACTTGCACAGATCAAGATGACCGGGCTTGAGAGCTCTCTGATGAGGGATTTCAGAACTGATGCAGGCTTGTCTGCTGTCGTCTCAGACTTTCCTCTTCACGCTTGATGATTTTTTGGTATTTTGTCCCTTTCCAAAGACAGGGAGGGTCTCCTCCCCTCCTCCTTTTGAGGTCATCCTGTTCACAGACTTAGTAAAATGCTTATACATGGTATTTAGCAATGGTGGAACAATGTTACAAAATACTTGTATCCTGTTGGTTTTTACACAGTTTAGTATGCTTGTATTTGGATTCAAGGCAGGCTAATATTAATTATACTCCGATTAATACATTTATAATATGTAGGTATCTCAGGCATCTGTTTTAGCTACAATATATTATCCACATTAAAAAAAAAAAAGAATTATTTTCCCTAAATTAAGGTAGTCATTTCTGATATTATGCCTACAGTTCATTCCCTTTAGTAGTATGAGCTCTTTCACAGCTTTATTGTTTTATTTCAGATGGGGCTAATGGCCACCTGCCCAGAAAATATGTTTGCTTGACTCTGTGGTTGAACTCCTAAACTACAACATTCTCAATCTTCCTAGGATGTATAGAGAACATAGGGAATGTCCAAACCTAGCCAAAAGGAAATACAGAGGATAGGTGTTTTATTCCTCCACTGAGGATTCACAACCTAGAACCGCCTCATAAACATAACTGCTTACCACCAAAGGAGGAATCTCTCTTGCTGACAAAGAGTTGGTTTTGAAGGACTTCATATCGAATGATCTTTTCAGTTGATTCAGTATATGGCAGAACAAATGTGCATTATTAGTTTGATTACAGATTCTATTAGTTTAGACTATGGAGATCAAGGATAAATTTTTTCCAGATAAACGGATTTAATGTGTCATAAAAACAACCCTGCTGATAACTCAAAGAAAATTTCTGGAAGTGCAAAGAATTTATACCAATATTATTTTACTACCAATGTTATTTTATTACCCATATTATGTGTTTGAGAATTTGGTTATACCTTTTTCTAAACTGAATGCTACCTAGATGTTGATGATGTTAATTTTGATGAGGATAGCTTGTTGCCTTTTCTTTTTTAATGTTCTAGCTGGGGCAAGGCAGATAGATGGAGGGAGAATATTATTGAAATTTTTATTAAGCAAATGGTAGCAATTCTTTCATTAAATAAGATTTAACTTTCACTGAATAAAATGATTTATGGTTCTAGTGGATAGATTAGCAGGCTGATCTTTGAAAACTAAGAGGAGAAGTATTGTTTAGAATGAACAATTTTACTCAATTTAATAAAAATATTTTACTGTGCCAATATTCTCTAGCTCTAGGTAGTAGTGTTCACTGCTGCCTGAGAACGTATTTTTAAAAACTTGATATATTTATTTCAGGGTGATAGCACATAGTTGCTATAAATAAATGATCAATGGACCTAAAGACTATTAAGATTTGTACGTCATTCATAGTCTTATAACCAATCAGGAGTTAAAGACAAAAGCTTTTAGCTATTAAATATTTTATAAGTTGTAGAAAAAAGTTTTGTACAGTTACGAAGATGCAATCAAAAGCTTCATTTTGATCTAATTTAGGTCCAGAAGCTATAATTAATATCAATGTGTGTATGCCTATTACATAGCAACTTCATTTATATTTCCTTGCTCGAGTTTGAATACTGTTCTACAGAAAGGTCATTTACCACAGGTAGAGAGTATGGAAAAAAAAAAAAAGAAGCAGAGAAATACTACTTCATGAACTGTAGAACAACCAACAGGGTAACATATTCAGAGATCCTTAAAAATGATAATATTATATGGAGGTACAGTAACATTTTCAAAAGAGATACTAGCACTCTAAAGGGGAAAAAAAGCTGGAAAACTTAACGGAATAGTAAACCAATCTGTGGTTAGAAATCTTATCTAAAGAGAGAAGTAAATAAAGTACAGAGGCTGCATTATTACAAAGATGCAAGACAGCATAAGTGGCTAATACAGAATTTGAACTGTGAACTTGGTTCCAGGTCCATGGGTACTATTTACAAATGATCATACTAAAATCAAGTACTGAAACCAAGAAAAGATGATTTTTCTGTCATTTGTGAAATTTTAATTTACCCCTTCCTATGTAAATATAATGATATTGTCTTTAAGAATACATCTGCATGCTAGAGTTTCTCGTCTCCTCGGCCTTACTCTATTCAATTCAAAAGACAAATACCCTAATGAATCAGGGTTATCTGTGAATTAAGCTGTAGGATTTCTATGTCATTTATTTAAATATATATTGTGGAAAGGGCACAAAACTTTTTAAAAAATGAAAATTTCATAATTAAGGCAGAACAGTTTACGTTGCTCTGGAGAAAAAGATGCTCTCCATGCTTGTGACCTATTTTTAAAAAGGATTGTTAGGTGGTCACTTAAACAAGCCTTTCAGGTCAGCACATCTGCGCTACTCAACTCGGGCATCCTGAAAACATGATCATGAAGGCTTAATGTGCAGGACTGAAGAGCACTAAAAGATAAAGGTAAATGTACTCTAAATATAAATCTGTGAGCTTTAAACAGTGCTAAAATAGACTTATTTTTAATTTATTTATTTCAAGTTAGGCATTTAAAACATGCCTTGGTCAATGTGGTTTCAAGTGTATTTATGGGCTTCCCTAAAGATTATTTTTAAACTCTTAATTTTTATTTTACTCACTTTCAATTTATCATTTGGTGGCAGATCTTTGCCCGAAAGATTAAAAGGTATGACAATCAGATGGCAGTTCATTCATTGGTTTTGTTTTTATATATATAAATATATATCTGTATTTATGTATGTGTATATGTGCATGCATAAAATTATAATTATATATAATTAAATGCATATGTTTATAATACATGAACTACCTAGCAGTTCTGCTTGAAAGCATAACGAAGCTAGAAGGAGCTAGAGGACCTCAAAGTCCATCATTGTTATATTACTACACAAGTTTCCAAGCATGTCTGATCTAGTTCAGGAAAAACAAAAAAGAAGAAAAAAACAAAACCAAAACAAACCGCCAAAACAGGCCACTTATCTCTAGAGAACAGATTTTGCTAAGGCACTATTTTTCTGTATAAAACTGCTTCTTCAAAGGTAGACAAAATGAGTGCTCATTTAATTTCACATGGAAGTGTGCGAAGGCTCCACGGGCCCTCTCTCTTTTGCCTTGCAACAACTGCAAGGGGGCACAAAGAGGCCAAAGGCATGGGGCCTGTGGAGCCATCTCACACTTTTCTGCCTGTGTTCTAGGGAAAACTAGTAGTTACAAAAAGGGAGTGGAATTACTTACTCCTACAAGAAGATAAATTAATCCTCTTTTTCAAAGTATTTTCAAACCTTGTTTGTTCTTGCAGTAGCTCGGAAAGACAGTGACTTCCAATTCAGCAAGACGTCCTAAAGGAAATGAGAAAAAACTAATCGTCAGAGTGAAAACGAGAGAAGAATAACAGAACAAAAATCTAAATAAAAGCCTAGAAACGACAGTAATTCAAGAGAAACGAAGCAAACAAGAAATCAGAAAGATGAACAGATTCAGATTTAGAAAGACTAAATCTGAGATGCCAGTAGGGTTCCAGAGAGGTGTTATCTCAGGTACATGCAGACTAGAGGTCAAGGAGAGGTTTGGGGCACTGTATAGGATTTTTCAGTTCAAGTTCTAGGAATCTGGAAGGCCTGAAATAGAGAGGAGGAGGAGGAGGAGGACATGAAGAATGGAAGGGAAGCTGCAAAGCTGAAAGTATCTCAACCCAAAAGGGAGGACGAGGGGAAAGAGGTGGGGGAAGAAATCAACTGCACTGAGGGGTAAAAAAGTATAAAGAGAAATGCAACTTTTGATTCTAGTAATAAAACAAGTGAAAAGTCATTGAAATTGTAATAGCTCTTCAAAATCAGGCTAGTTTAAGCTCTTGTTATTTATAGCGTCTGTTGCTTTTTTCTTATGGAAAACCTCATAGATGACTTTTTTGTGTGCCAGAAGGTTATAATCAAGGACAGAATAGACATATGGTAGGTAACATAAGCAGCCAAATTACAACCTATCAAAGTTATATGTAACTTCAAACAGCATTAATTCTCAGCATAAAACATCTGTAATGCACTGTGAGCAAAATTATGAATATTCAAGTTCCATCTTGCTTTCACCTTATTAATAGCATCAATATTTACTCTGCCATATGCAAAGATAATTAGAATAATGGCATGGCATTAATATACATGAGTTGTCTTCATTCACATGGATCATAAATGCTTTATAAAGCTTAACAGTAAGCATGCGTAGATCAAATTTTGTTCTAATTATTAAAGTCAATTTTACATTGGTTGAAAATTGCTCAAGCTCCAAGGTGTAACAGAACATACGCCTCGTCACGATATATACAGGAATCACTTTGCTCACAAATGAAGTGCAGCCATCCCTACAGTGGACATCTGCTATTTTCAATAGCATACTGCAGCGTTACACAGGTTAGGAGTCAAACCATAGACTGTATTTTGAATCACTGATGTGTTTCCAATTCAGGTTTAACCATCACATGAGACTTCTCCATATGTAATTCTTTCCTTATAACTAACTGGTTGGCATTAATACTACACTGATTCACACCGTTATTTAAGACAATACCGTTCTTCTGGTGTAACTGTAGCAGAAGGATAGTGATAGCCACTCATAGACTGCATTGCACGCAAACTGAATACGGAGAGGATAAAATTACTTGTAAATAATACTCTAGGAACAAATAGAAAATAAGAAAAACACCGGTGGCAAAAAATGTTCCCCTTGTGCAACTTGTATCTAGTTTAAAAGTTGGCATATGATACAGGATTTAATTTGACACACACATAAACATTTGGGAAATGTTATAGAAACAATAATAGTTTTAGATTGCGTTTACTTACACTTTGGTGTTATGGATATTGAAGATAACGCAGAGCCTGTCCGAGTCTACACTGATCTCCATGTCAGCCTTTTTGATGAGACAATTTCTTTAGACAGTGAAATACTCTGTGCATTGGTGGGCAAGCTTTGCTTTCACTGTGATTAATACAAAGTAAGAACATTACTGTCTTTCAAGATCTAAGCTTCTGTGTTCATAGCTGAAAATCGTGTAACACTAATTAATCTCCAACACCCCCTCCCAGCTTCTGAAGTAATGTTGACCCATATCCAGAAACCCACTTCACTGTAACTTTCCCTGCTCCTACAAGTCTGCCATTCTCCATTTTTGGACTCTAAATTAAATTTAAAGAAAATTATATGGGCCTACATTTAAAAAATTTAATTTTTCCACATCTTAACATCCTCTCTGTTCTTTTATGACCCTCAGCTGTTTAACTACTCTCCACTATGCAGAAAAATATTTGATAATAGGCCTTAAGGGAAGCACATAGCCTGTCTGCAACTATCTGTATAAATGGTGTAATACAGCTTTGATGATAAGTTTATTTAATATATAATGCCTGATGAAAAGTAAAGCTGCAACATGATAGTTGCCTTCCAGGGAGATCTCAAAACTTAACAGTAAGTACTCATCACCAGATTTTATTTTAGCAAGGAAATGTTTCGAATGCAGTGCTGAAGAATATTGCCACAAAAACATTTAGAAAAAAAAGCATGTAAAAATAACATGAGAATTCCACACACGATCTTCCCATGACAATGGGGGACAAATGAACAAGGTGGCGGCCGTATTTACAGCAAGAGCTCTTCTGTAATACCTTTGGGGCTGCTCCAGATGGTAACTATCTTTCACTCAACGAATCTTCGGAGGTGGCTCCACACCTTGTACAGGTGGCAGCTTCTATTTTACTGCAGCTCACAACAGGTGACCACCGGAAAATTTGGATACCAGTTAACCACACGATCTGGTTGTGTTGTGGGAAGCTGAGACATTAAAGAGCTGTGCACATGGACAACTGGCAGCAAGTAATACACGTTATTAGCAAGCACATAGGTCGTGTCAGGGTCAGATGGTCCCCTTACCTCCAACATAGAAATAATGAAAGAGATTGAGAGGTTTACAAAGCTTCCAGTTCTGTAACACCTTTGAAAGCTATCAGAAATTAATGCATCACTAGCGCTTTAAAAAGAACAGACTTCTGTCCAAAAACGAGAAAATAAGATGTAATAGAAACAATTGATATACTTGGAGGGGTAGAAGTGATTTTTTTTTATTTTTACTTAGTCTATTTTTGTTCTGATAATGTTTGTTTGTTATTGAATAGATATAGCTTGGGTTGTGGCCTCAAGGTCATCTTTGTTATGGAGGTGAACTTGATATTTTGGGCATCTCCAATCCATCTAAAGTTATTTAAATCATCATACTGCACTACTATGCATTTCTCAGAGAATAGGACTTTTAGAAATTTGGTGCTGCTCTAACAGTCATATCTTTGAGTGTGAGTTTCCCAGAAAGTTGTGTTTAAAAACTTGAATATAAACAGATGCTTTTTACACATTATTCACATTCTTAATATTTTACTCCATGAAGCATATTAACCAAAGATTTTTTCACCCCCTTCATTTTTAATTTTTCTTGCTATTCTGTGTTGTTGAATACCTTAAAATATTCCAAAATTCTTAAGACAAAATAAATCTTCCTTTCGGGAAATGAAATTAGGTATTTTTGAACGGCACATGTGTGTGGTGAGGGGGTGGGGGTAAAAATACAGAGAATCTTCCAGTATTCTCTAACCTCCAACTTTTTAAATATTTTTTTTCTGTTGAAAAATCACACCAAGACCAAGCAATATTACCAAAACCAAAAAAATGGCTCTGAGGCATACACTAGCTAAGAGCACTGAGTATGGCAGCTCTTGAGACTATGCCTGGAAATGCTGTAAATTCTAAAAGGATTAAATAAACCCTTGATCCTAGAATACATAAGCGTCCAGATCTTTCTGCAATTTTGGGCTCACCTTGGCAGGGTGAGTTTCCTTTGCCAAAACAAGCGCAATCCACACCATCCCTCAGATATTCGAGAAGGGTGCGTAGTGAGGAGACGGCTGGGAGTGCAGTGCAGCGCAGCGTGACGGTCCATTCAGCGCCTGTACATAGAACAAGCTGTGCCCTGCAGAAAAGGCTTCAGGCTACTGTAATTACAGAAGGGAATAGTTTAACTCCCAAATCTAAGAAGTAGGAGAACATAAAAGTGGAGGAAGATCACTTGGCATCCTACACTAAGTACTGACTATACGGAGGAAAAGCCAATACAAATCTAACCTTACAATGTTATATGTGTTTACAGTCACGCCTGGTTATATGATGGTATTTCTGTTATTAATAGTGATATTAAGTGCTTCCTCTGTTAAGAGGGGGAACCTATGTCAAAGCTCTGCTGAGGAATTTGCAAAAGGGATCTTACAAAGGGTACAGAGAAAGGTGTTACCTATGGAAGAGTATCCAAGGTGACCTCAGAGAATCTGATGAAGTATTTATTTATCTCCTGTTTCCCTCCAGCTTGCTGAAATTCTTTGTTTCTGGAGAAGCCCAAAATAACTTAACATAGGCAAAATGGGAACATTTTGCTTTAGTTAAAGGAGGAGTTTTCTTGGGAAAAGGGTCTAATTCCAAATATCTTTTTACACTAGACGAGCTAGACAGTACATTTGGGAGATACTATTTGTTTAAACTCCTGTAGGGCTTGTGTTTAACATCTGAGAGAACATAACATGTCTTATGACAAAAAAAGAAAGCGTACTAAATTACAGATATACGTTTTCATTCTAATGAAAACATCATTAGGTGTAGCAAGAAACAAAAAATACTAAACAAAATAACAAAAGTTTAAAAAAAACACTAGAAATTACCTGAGAAAGCAGTTAAAAACACGTAGATCACAGTATAGCTGTTGTTGTTGTCATCATAATTTGTGTGATTTCTACAACAGTGCAGAAAAGGGTGGAAAGACTGTTGAGGAAAAAAAAAAACAAACACAACTACTAACCTTGTATTTAACAAAGTAGTTCAAGCAAGTAATTTGAGAGTGCCAATAATGAGAGATCCAAACGGCACAGCATGCAAACATTAGAAAATGATGCGAGAAACTGAAGAAGTTGATGAAGCTCCTCTACCCCTTGGCCCTGCACAGTAAGCAGTAATAATTAAATTACTCACAGACACTTACAAGCAGAGGGCTGCCAGGTGTTCTCACAACAGCACAGTGAAAACTACAAGCCCGTTTCTTCTGTGCTATGGGCAAATAGTTGTCTGAGAACCTTCTTTAACAGTCACTATCCCATCCTTTTCTCCCCGTTTATCTAGTATAGTCGCACAGTGTTACACTATACAAATTATAAGAATTCCAAAAGTAACCTTGACTATCATGGAGCTAAAAACACCATCACAAATGCTTCACATCTTAGGAGCATTTATATGCATAATTGTAATGCTTCTTTGTTTCAGAGCTTGGTGCAGGAAGAAATAAGGAAAACCATATTACCCATCACTAGCTGTATCAAAAGAAGCAACTCCAGCAGCCGGCTCTAGCATCCTTTATGTGGCAGACGAGTTGATGCACGTTGTCTTTCTAATCTGCTGCTGAAGAGAAAGTGAGGCAAAATAGTCAATGCAGTAATGGCCTGCAGTGGTACAAGTATAACATTTCCCCAAGAGAGATCTGAAATACTTAACTGTGGATAGTAAACCTGATAAATCTGTATTACTAACTGAGAACTCTGTACATGATCCCCCCAAACACTGTTATGGCATCAGTAGAAATGTGCATAAACTTTTTTCTTTTTTTAAACTTGACGATGGCCTCCCTTTCATCTGATCTGGCTACTGTTCTTTCAACTGCTATCCTTCCCTGTCCTGAATGAGGATTTTGGATCAGACGGTGCATGGCTCTATCCAGCTGTTCACTGTCTTTCCTATCCCTTCCTCCAGTGGGCATCCCTCCTGGCTACTTAACCCTATTCCTGCACTCTCCTAGCTCCTGGCTATGAAAGGCAACTCAATGCTGTGCATCACAGTTGTCTGCTCCTGCAGTTAGTTGCTTCACCCTCCACAGGTTCATTAACTTTTTACACTTATTGCCTTACCCGATGTTCTTCAACTGTCCTAGCTAGTCTACCTGCTCATTTCACTCTGAAAACTTTGCTTCTCCCAGCTCTTGTATGCTACCTGTGCTAAGCTATGATGCGGGGTTCCTAACATGTCCTCTTTGGTGGCTGGGCTTCCCTTCCTCTCAGCATCTCCTTTCCTTTTCAGAAAATAAAAATGGTCTTTGGCCATTTATTTGCCTGGGATTTGCAGGTTGTCAGCATGTCAGCTGGATGAATAGCTATCAAAAGTCTCACTCAATGAGTCCAATGTGTTATGGATACATGGGTTTTCAGTGTTTTCAACTGTCAGCTTTCACAACGCATTGTGAAAATATCACAGATATGTCTAGGATTCACTGCAGATGAACAAAAAGTCATATCTAGCTTAATGCTCGATTCTCTCTGAGGTCAATAACAGCTCTCTAAAGAAGATTCAAGAAGAGGACAAGCTTATGGTGGTACAGTTCCTGCCACACTGTTTCTAGCAATCTGCAGTTCAAGGACCTCCTGATTTTATTTCTTTTGGTTTAATCACATCCAAAACCAGGTGGCCTATGAATCTGCATGAAGTCCTATGCCAATTACCACAAAATATCAATGTCAGCGAATAATTGACTTGGTTATCACTAAGCAGAACAAGCCATTGCTTTTTCCTCCACTTTCTAATTGTAAACACAGTCCACTTATGAGTTACCTGAGGCTATGACTGCCACATTTCATCTTTGCTGATATGTTCAATAGCTTGGGACATATTATGCTAAACAGATAAAATATTTTGAAGAAATCTATTTAGGGAAAAAAAAAACCTCAGATATATAATTGATGGGTGGAGAAATAAAAAAAGTGAGAATGTAGAAGACAGTAAGATTAACTACTGCAGCACAAGTTATCAGTGCAATAACATGTTTCAAACATTACATAACAAAGAAACAAGCCTAAAAGGGTGCATACAGCATTTTAAAAGCCAATGATGTTGGCTTCAGAACTTAAAGCACATGAGCCTAAGATAAGTCGAAAAAAGCTCCATGTAATATCTATTCTTCACAAGAAAAAGAAAAGCAGGGTTTACTGAAAAAGATCAAAGCATCAGAAATATTTATGTAGTTAATATCAACCCAAGATAATGGCTTCAGAAAAACATACTATACGTGGAGAAACGAAGTTCAGTTAGCATCTTAAAAACACTAAAAAAGGCATGCAAGCATATTTGCATTTATATATATAAACATATTTTAGAAGCTAGGTTTCTGGAAAGGTTTGCATCATAATTTATGTTCAACTATACTATGGATAAAAAAGCTCTGACAAAAATTGCTTGAAAATTGACAAAAATTAAGTCATAATAGAAAAAAGTAGGGGAAGTGAAAATACAGCTTTAAGTAGGTGCCATATTATCTAATACTTTTGGTTTAATATTTTA